TGCGGGGATCCGTAGTACTCACTAGTCAGAGGGTGTTGTGATACTGCGGGGAGCCGTAGTACTCACTAGTCAGAGAGTGTTGTGATACTGCGGGGATCCGTAGTACTCACTAGTCAGAGGGTGTTGTGATACTGCGGGGAGCCGTAGTACTCACTAGTCAGAGGGTGCTGTGATACCGCGGGGAGCCGTAGTGCTCACTAGATGGCAAGAGAGTGTGATGATGGAATGTTCTCCGATCAGTGTATGATGTGGAAGAGTTTTGGGCTTGAGTAGCCCTAGTATTGAGTTTTTGGAGCCTGGATGTTAGACCGGGGGCGAGACTGGGGTCCCCGTCTCTGTCGGGGAATGTGGTGAGATGCACAAGGGATATGCGCAGCTAAAACCAGAGATCAGAGTGGAGACGATCCTCGGTTGGATTGTACTTTCTTGCATAAGGAAAAGAGAATTTCGTGACTTGCATGTCACGAGGCCGGGATAGTGGTCACGGGGAGGAAGTTAGTGGGATATTTGGATCATGATTTGGGTGACCTTTGGAGGCTCAGTTGTGGAGTCAAAAGCTGACCTGGTGACCAGTCTCGAAGAGGGATATGAGATGAGCTAGAGCCTATCATGATGATGTGTGAGGACACCTCATAGGGAATGAACGATTCAGACGCTCAAAGACATGCTTCGGGCATGTGTATTAGATTTTGGAGGGTGTTGCGGCACGTATTTATCCTTGGTTGAGTTATCCTATTTCAACAGCCATCATTAGTGCATCGGTATGCCACCCTTTGTGTTGTTGTATGGGAGGAAGTGTCGGACCCTCATTTGCTGAGGAGAGTGTCGATTCGCGGAAGTGGAAGTTGTAGTGAGAATGGATGATTTGGAGTATGATGGTCGAACATTGTGTCTGTGGCAGTGGTATGGAATGACATTATGATGGGGTGTCTGCTGAGGATGCGGAAGGGATTCCGCGGGTGTAGAGCCAAGAGTCTCAGGATGGATGTAGGGATGGAGTCTGGGACTCCCAGCTTGATTCTGATCAAGGGTCGTGTGCGTAGTGGTGGTGTCTCCTGGGGATGTTAGAGATGTCATCAGTGCGACGGGTTCTCCTAACCCAAGAATGCAAAGGTTGGTGCGGCTTGGGTGCTTGATTGCAAGAAGAGGACTCATGAGAGTTGCTCTGGGATTGAAGAGTGGGCCTTTCTGTCGTCACGGATTGGATAGGATAGGATTTGGATCGGGGATCCGATGGTTCATGGCTTCTAACCCTTATGGGTCAAGTGATTGTTGAGATTTGGGTCAGTGATGCTTCATGGGTAATTCTCGGATCGTTGAGTGTGGTTATCAGAGGGTACATCCGGTGCCCGGTTCGAGACAGTGGTCAGGACACCGTAAGGAACGGGAAAGTGTGTTCGAGTTTCGATGGGTATGTCTTGTGAGATCCGGTCCGATTAAGGCCAGGTGGCACGTTGTGGGAGTATTTCTGGAGTTGAGTTGCTGTAGGCTTCGAGGGCGAAGCCTAATTTAAGTGGGGGAGAATTGTAACATCCCGAAATATCAAGAGTAGAGTTGAAGGGCTAAAAGAGTAAATTGGGAAAGAGTGACTCGGCGAGTCCATGTGCGGACTCGGCGAGTAGAGTCGCGACTTGGTCGCGTGTTAAGTGGCCGACTCGGCGAGTCAGGGTAATGGACTCGGCGAGTAGGCGCTGAGTGGAGAAAACCCTAATTCTCGGGGTTGAGCCTTATATAAAGATCATTATGTTTCCCTCCCAGCCTCTTTATCACCCCTTGAGCCCCAGAAACCCCTAAATCACGAAGAAGCACCATTGTTGGATGGAGTGGAGCTTGGAGAATGTATTTGTGAAGGAATTTTGGGAGATTGAAGGCTTGGAGCAAGGGGCTTTGTTTGAATTCGAGTCTCATTTCAATTAGGGCATTCCTTTGAGGTAATATCTCGTTTTTTTGAGCTGCTATTTCTTAGATGCATCATTTTGGGGATGTTGGAGATCATATCTTTGGATGTATTGGAGTTTAGAGGTTAGATCTGAGGTTGCTACCTCAGATCTGGAAGGGAGAAGGTCTAGAGTGCATGAAAGTCCCTGTTTGTGAGTGGTTGATGGAGTCATCTTGTCCCAAATCCTAGCCCAATGTGCAAACGGCTTAGATCTCTTTGGATTCACGTAAAGTTTGCCACTTTACGTGATGGATGGGTTGTAGGAGGCTAGATCTATGTTTTGGATCAATTGCATGGCCTGGAGTGCTTCTGAATGGATTCAGAACGGTGGTACTCGGCGAGTTACATGGGTAGACTCGACGAGTTGCTTGCAGATGGCTGGAACTCGACGAGTTGGAAGAACAACTCGGCGAGTAGGTTGAAGATAGCCTTGGACTCGGCGAGTCTTGTCGAAGAGTCCCAAATATTCTCTGGTAGAGTCGAGAATCGGTGAGTTGAGGGATGACTCGGTGAGTCGAGTGCGAGTGGACTCAGAGTTGTTGGACTCGGCGAGTCTTGGGGTGACTCGGCGAGTTAGGTCGCAGATTGAATGAAGTTCTGATTATGGGAACTCGACGAGTCACAGAGTTGACTCGACGAGTAGGGTCAGTCAGGGGTTGACTTAGACTGAGGACTTTGATTTCGACCAAGGGTTGGTCGTTGACTTTTAGGGTTTGGTCAGCGATGTGGCCTTTGGGCCAAGAGAGAGGTAAACTAGTCTTTTACCCATGAGAGGGTGTTATGAGAGGATTTATTCTAGTCTCGAGAGTTATATTCATGAGAATATTTGCTTTACGTGTTAGGCGGTGGCGAGTTTGAGATTCCAGTGTGGGGATATCTGCTTTCTGCTTGCCAGGTGAGTCTTCTCACTATACTTTACCTTGAGTAGGTAACCAGAGTTATGTGTTCAGAGTATTTGTATGCTATATGTACGTGATGTGTTGTACTGCATTATTTCTATGTGATTTATGCTGTGCATGTTTATAGAGTTGGAACCGGAAGGTTCCCAGAGTTAGAGCCTGAGGGTTCACAGAGTTTGGGTGCACGGACCCATAGAGTTATAGCCTCGAGTGGCTAATATGTGTTATGTGTGGTATTTTGGGGAACTCACTAAGCTTCGTGCTTACAGTGTTTTGTGTGATGTTTTTTTCAGGTTTCTTTCAGTATCACGGGACGGCACCGGCTTGATTGTACACACCAGAGAAAGAGTCATATTTTGGAGGATCCTGGTTTTCTATGCAAGTGAAAATGGAGTCATGTTTTGTAAATCGACTATGAATGAGATTTTAAACAAGTGTTTCTAAGAATAAAATGATTATTTTAAATGAAAAATTTGTCTTGAAATTTACGGTGTTACAAGTTGGTATCAGAGCCTTGGTTTGAGGGATTCGGATGCGCCTTCGGGTAAATCTGGACTCAAACTGAGGAAGTAAGAAAAGTTTTAAGGAAATAATTTTCTAAAAATGAATAAGGGTTCAAAGAGGAAGCAAGAAAGAGCAGTGTGTACAATCAGCCTGAGCCCGAACGGTGATTTCCCAAAATACCCTTATTTTTTTTGTGTTATGAGATATTTATGATGCACCTTATGAGATAATATTGCATGCTAGAGACAGTCTAGGTATTTCATATGTTAGGACTAGAGTGGCCTGATTTGTGATGCCTAAGTCTAGGACTCGTTGTTATATGTGTTATGCTTTTGAGTATGTGATGAGTGAGAGTATCCAGTTAGAACCCATGAGGGGTAGAGTTACAGAGTTTGAATTGGGCTAAACTATATATACTATTGAAAAAAAATTGGGCCCCTTCAAACTGTGGATCCTATTCCTGTGCCCACCTTGAACATGCTCTAAACCGGGCTTGAAAAAAGTTGTTCATGAGGTGACAACACCCAACAAATTCAAACTTATGACCCTTTGTTTCATTTACTTGATAAAAGAACAAAACGTTTATCCACGCCATTAATTAAAAATCAAAGTCTTAAAGCTTATTAGGAAAGGTCGCAAGTGACTTTAGAATTGCAATAGTTGATTAAATGTAATTAGACAAACTAGTTGATCATTGTTTAAGGACGAATTATTGTCTCGAAAAAAAATACCAATGATAAAATATGGGGTTTAGGGAATCTCCAAGCATGTTCAACATTTTAACAAAATATTGCATATTCTAGACTTAAAAATAAAAGTCATTGCATAAATTAGCTTGTCTTTTTAATATTTTAACAAAATGTGTAATAAATAATATTGTATTTTTATACTTACAAATTTTATTCCTTAAGATTGATATTTTAAAAATCGGTTTTCTATCAACGAATTCAATTGACATACAACCAAAAAGACAACAACTGGTATTTATGATATTGATATGCTGCATTTCTATGTTTTATAAAGTCTGCTTGATGTATTATTGTTTACGTGTAGCAACTAGCCACATTCTCAATATAATATACATAACTTATTAAAAAACATTTTTCATCAGATCAAACTTTGTTTTAACTCATCGATAACTTCTATTTTTCTCCCTAGGTATCTATGTTTTGCTAAGATCAAATAAAATCACTTAGAAACATGCCACAAAAGAGCATAACCAACATAAATCATCCATCTCAAAGTAAATGTATTGTTTAGGCAAATAATTTTTAAAATTTATGTCATATTTGAAAGCTTACAGTTATTTTCACCAAACATTTTCACACGGATTAAAGTTATGGCTTCATCTTTCGTATAGTTTACCGAACATACTCTAATTAAAACTGATGGGGTTGCATAAAGAAAACGATAATTAAGCTCGTTTAAGTTGGTTGTCTTACAACTGATAAAATATTTCAAAATAATTTTATGTAGGATATCAAATAGCTAGTATCATATCCAAAAATTTAACAGTTCAAATTTGGTATCTAAAACCCAAATATAAATTGTGACATGAACCTCGTCAAACGTTTGAATTATTCGTCATATGACAATTCTTTAGTTGGCCCCACAAACAAACCTATAAATACACGTGCTTTCAACCTTCAGCCATACACCCGGGCGTCAAAATCCGATGGCGGCTAACTACAATTCCTCCCTTACTCTGATCGCCATCTTCTCTCTCTTCCTCGCCACCACCGCCGCCGGCCGTTTTATAACAACCACTTCACCTTCAATATCCGACGGCGTTAACAATGATGACCGGAGCATACTCCGCCTTAACCCTCTCTTCACATCGTCACCGGAAGAGTGTGAACAGACGTACGGGTTCATGCCCTGCACCACCACCGCTGCCGGAAACCTCTTCCTCATTGTCGTCTATGGTTACCTCATGTTCCTCGCCGCCACTTATCTCTCCGCCGGCAGTGAGCTGTTGTTGGCAATTCTAGGACCAGGTCTGGTCGGCGGCCTCTGCCTTCCTGCTCTTGGTGCACTTCCCGATGCTATGCTTATTCTTGGTAAAAATTATACCTCCATTTACTTTTATTCATATTTAGACTATAAATTTTTTCACACAAACTTATTTAAATTATTTTCTATTAACTCGTTATCATATTTGATTTGCATGAACAATTTTTAAAAAGAAAATGTCCACACGTGTCAGCCAGATATACACACAGAAAACAACTCTTTCTTGACACTTTTACACATTTATATGGTTATTTCTCATCTCATGACCTCAAAAAACATTAAAATTTTGACATATACGCAATCATACCTCGGCTATGTTTGGTGCTACCTATTCTTAGCTTATAATCTACTTTATCAATAATCATGTTTATCAGAAAATTAGTTTATTAGCTACCTTGGACATTTGATGCTCTTACTAGATATTACTATTAAGATATCTCTTACACATCCTATAAACATTTTTATTAAAAATCAACCTAGAATAAATTATTTATAATTTTAGTTTATTAGCTACCTAGGACATTTGATCATGGATGTTGCTATGAAGACATTTCTTACACATCCTATCAACATTTTTATTAAAAATCAACCTATAATAAATTATTTATAATTTACTTTTTCGAAAAACAATGCAAATTCAACCAATAAAACAACCTTAGCCAACCCAAGGCCAAAAATATAATATGTATAAAAATTGGCTATGACCAAATAAAATTTTTGAATCTAAAATGTATAAAATAAAACCATAAGGACTGTATCTAACCATAAAAATAGGTGGGCTACAATCTAACTGATCATCTATTTTTTTATCAAACATTATTAATTAATAAGTTAGTTTATCAAGTATGCACACCAAACGGAACCTGGTAACCAGTTTTTGTAGGTCAATATTGGCTGAGATGAAAAATAATAATATTAATAATAGCTTTGATGAAAAAAGAAATATCTAAACTGTTTCGGTAAAAGAATGATTTTTTTGTGTAATTTGGCAGCTTTCAGTTTAGTATAATTTTACATTGAATTGTAAAATGAAGTGACTGATAAAAATAAAACGTTTGTTAAACAAATGTGCTATGTTTTTTTAAAAGCAAACCGATCTACTCCTAAGTTAACACATATGTCTCCAACGACTTAAATCAATAATCTCTCGATTGAGAGAACCACTCATACTCCTACGCCAAATTCCCTTTTTTGGTAAATAAATGTGCTATGTGGATTGATAAATTGATGCAAGTATCTTACATTTTTTGTCACAGTACGTATGTTGACTATCAGGAATTTATTTTATAAAATTGAAAAAGGAAGTTACTCATAGACTACATGTATATACCAACATATTATTTTATATATACCAATAAAATGATGAAAGTGTGTCGCATTTGTTGCAGTATCTGGACTCTCAGGGAGCACAGAAACTGCTCAAGACCAAGTATCGGTTGGAATGGGGTTGTTGGCTGGTTCCACAGTGATGCTTCTTACAAGCATATGGGGAACATGTATCGTTGTTGGCAAGTGTGATCTACAAAACTCGGTAGCTCAAGATAACAAAGACACCAAAGGGTTCAACTTAATAGGTTTTTTTTTCTCACCCCATTTTTATATAAAAGCGAACAATTTTTTTAATTATAGTTGACATGTTTTTATATATGTTTTTGTTTGTAATGTGGTATAGGCTCCGGTGTGAGTACTGATATTTGGACTAGCTATTCTGCGATGATAATGGCTGTATCTGTGCTTCCATTTATAGTCGTTCAATTCCCCCAAATTCTACATTCCACTTCAGGAAGACACACTGCGGTGTTAGTAGCCCTCGTTCTTTCCGTTTCTCTTCTCATTGCATATTGTCTTTATCAGGTAAGAGTAATAACACTCAAAGCCCAAAGTTATAGGCCCAATAACCATAATGAAAGCTATCAAGTAGCCAACAATTTGAGACTCATGTGGGATTCGTTATTATTACATGTCAGGTTTACCAACCAACATTGCAAAAGAGACACCTTGATTTCGCAAAGCATAAGCACGTACGATCTAGGATTCTCAAGTACTTGAAGAAACGGGCACTTGGAAGACTTGTAGATAGCCATGGTGAACCTAATAGAGAAGTTCTAATAAGGTTAGTTTTTTTATTAATTTTTGGTTTTCACACATTTGTTACACAAGACTGGAAACCTTATATAGGCTATTTTTTAATACAAGGACAAGGAGGGTATTTGTGTTTTTTATCTGTCCCATCTTTATGCATGGGATATAATAATACAATTTTGGTCCTATTGGCATCAGTTTTAGTTGAATCTATTATGTTATGTTATGTCATATATAACGACTTTTATTGACCTTTGTACCGGTTTCAACAGGTTGTTTAATTCGATTGATGCTAATCAAGATGGAAGCCTTTCGATTCCAGAACTAAGGGCTTTAATAGTAGGAATGCAATTATACGAGATAAATTTAAACGAAGATGATGCAGTGGCTAAAGTTATGAAAGATTTTGATACGTCTGAAAATAACGAAGTTGACTTCGATGAATTTATTGAAGGGATTGGAAGATGGCTTGAGGAGGCCAAGGGTTTCAAAAGGACTACTTCTGATGTTGGACCCGATTCATTGAAGTATGTTCATGACTATTATGAGGAGACAAAGAAAGAGCACGACCTTTTGGGAGATCAAACTCATGAAGAAGATGAAGAAGAAGAAGACGGGGTGGATGACCCTCGCCGGACCACCATTAAGGCAGTGTTACTCTTGTTATTGGGCACCGTGATCGCGGCGGCATTTGCTGATCCGCTAGTGGACGCGGTCGGTAATTTTTCGGCTGCAACAAGTATTCCTTCTTTCTTTATTTCGTTCATTGTGTTGCCATTTGCTACGAATTCTAGTGAGGCAGTGTCGGCTATCATCTTTGCTACACGCAAGAAACAAAGATCTGCATCTTTGACTTTTTCCGAGGTTTGTTCTGCTTTTCTTGTTATAAATCACTTCGTTAAAAAAAAATTATATTTTTTCTTCGTTGAAATCGGTAAGGGTCCCGCTCTAAAGTCCAATCTACACCAAACAAAGTACATTTTCTAGTCATGTCATATAAAATCTAAACCATGGATCTACATGAGTTATGAAAAAGCTAATCTTATGTTGATGGTTTGTTTCTGTGAAACAGTTATATGGAGCAGTAACAATGAACAATGTACTTTGCTTATCGGTGTTCTTAGCACTTGTATATGTCCGAGGATTGACATGGGATTTCTCATCAGAAGTTTTAGTGATTCTAATTGTTTGCATTGTTATGGGCGTTTTTGGAAGTTGTCGAACCACATTCCCACTATGGACATCATTCTTGGCTTTCTTGCTCTACCCATTCTCCCTCATCCTAGTATACGTTCTTGACTATGGTTATGGTTGGTCATAAACACCTTTCTCATGTTATTCTAGTTCAAAATAAATGTAACATGAAAAGTTCACCATTTCAATGAAAATATATCAAAGTAAGTTGTTTTTTTTTTTTTTTTGTTTGGTATGGTGGGACATTTTTGTTTGTTGATTCTTTTCTAAAATTGTATGATCACACTTAAATGCCAGTTTCACATTAATGCTAATTTAGGACAAAAAGTTGGGCCAATTTTGGTTGTACAACAAATCAATTTGTAAGATATCCTGCTGTCATCATACAATAACACCTCTGTTTTTTCTTGTTGTTGGTGGGTCAATAGTTTCATCATCAATCTATTATCACTATGGGAAGATAAGATCTCAGTATCCACATATGTAAAAACAAGAATGAACCCACATGCATAAGTTTGTTAGCATCAGGACCTCAGTTCGATTTTGATCATAAACTATGTACAAAATGTTTCTTTTATTTTTTTTTACTATCAACTCTTGTATATTTGAACAAAATAAATATGAATGAACAGTAAAAAATAAACGTTATATTCAAGCAAAAATCTTTAACAATATTCATTAAGAGCAAAAAAAATTAGCATCTAAATACATATATGGTTTTTTTTTGACTTGATGATTAAATCATTCTGTCTGATTAAGTAAAAAAACAGCCATTAACACATCAGAAAGGAGGTTTAATTGTGATTTTATTTCTCTTTTCAAGGTCTTGACAACATAAATAAAGACATTTATAGCTTCAAATTTAGATCAACAGTTTCACCTGCCTCCCCGTTGCTGTTTCCTGGCTGACCGATTGATGTTTTTGCAGCTGGAAAGAAAGTAAGAAAAGGTTGCGGGTTTGACCCGGTTCTTCCAGGCAAATGGGTCGGATCTTTTGAGTGACCCTAAAGAAAGAAGGAAAAAGAAACAAAAGATGAAATTTGGGAAATAAATATTAAGAGTTGTTGGAAAAAAAAAAAAGAATCTTACTTTATGAGTTTCGAATTGAGGCTGTTCTCCTATACAAGATGCTTGAGGAGGGGCTAACTTGAGAAAATCTCTGGTCAAAGTCAAACCTTGGTGTTCATCGATGAATTTCTTTGTTATTGTATCGGATATGAGACCTGAGCTTGAAGGATTTTCTCTGAAATGGAGTCCCAAATAAAAACCCATTAAAACAAAAAAAAAAACAATATTATAAAGCTTCTAATTTGTGATGAAATTTAGGATTTTGTTCACCTGAAAACTGGATGTGCAGGTTCCATGGTGATAGTGCCTCCATTGCTACAAGAAGCTGATTCATCTGATCTTGAAATGGGAGACACAAAAGCCGAAGGAAATTTGCAATGAAAAGATGGAATTGGCACGTTTTCCAATGAAAACGGGTATGGCCTTTTCATGCCAACCATCTGTCATAAAAACCATGAAGAAATAAATATTTCTCCATTAATTCTTATACAATGATCAACAAATCTATAACATCACATATCTTGAAAAAAGGTGATGAAAAAAGTGTAAAAAAAGCAACATCACCTTGTCTTCCTCTGGCCACAATGGATGGTAGTTGTTGTTGCCATTATTATAGCTTTGGTTTGAAGGGGGCTCCATCTGAAAATTTAATACAGATGATGATGACGATGATGAAGTTCCTGTTGAAACATTCACCTGCAAAAGTTTAAAATTTGACTAATCAACAACTTTTATATAAAATACAATCTAAGAAGTAAGAACATGGACAGATAGATAATAAAGAGGAGAGAGAGAGATTTCAGATTCACCATTGATGAAGAACAAGGTTGTTGAAAGTGTGATGATTTTTGAAGCATTAGATTAGGAGGAGGTGGCCAAATGAGAGGGTTGGATTCGTAAGGCAAACCACCAAGATTTGCTGGAAAGGCTGCAGTGTATCTAGGGTGGTCCATACCATGATTTTGATTTTGATTTTGATTTTGTTTCTCCGCTTCGAAATTGTAATCACCATCACTCCATAATCTACACCAATTACTACTGCTGCCACCACTGATCGTGTTTGTAGGTTTGGAAAAGGAGGAGGCGGAGATGGTGTTTATGCCATCGGTTTTGGAAATCAAAGGGTGGTGATTAGGTGGCAATGGTGGGGGAAGTGGGATCGAAGATGAAGAAATTGGTGGCGGCCGGAAATTGGGAACTTTTTGGATGGTGGCCAAATTGGAACAAGAATTGCTCGGAGAAATGATTGAATTTGGGGTTAAAACGACGTCTTTCTTCTGTTGTTCCTCCGATATAATCTTCTCAAGTTGAGCCACACCCATTCCTCTCTGTGGCACTTTCTTATGTTTCAACTTCTTGGAAGATCTATGACTACTACCACCACCACCACCGCCACCTCCACCTCCACCGCCGCCGCTACTGCTGTTACTACACCTAGAAGTATGTTCGTCTTGAGCCATCGATCACTGCCATCTAAATCACATTGAATTCTTTTGAAGGGGAACTCAGAATAGGTAATTCACGTATATAAGGAAAAACTCAAGATTCACCAGAAAGGATTAATCTAAAAGATCAAACCCTATTAAAGTTTCAACAAATTGAAAACGAAACCGAAATGTGCATCTAATTCTATAGATCACACAAGATCTCCATTACTTATATATGGAAAACGAACAATTAAAAGCAGATTATATGAATTTATTCATTTTCACAATTATATCAGACTGTAAATGCAGAGAGAGAAAGAGAGGAAGTAAATTGAGTATCCGAAAGGTGTGAGATAGAGATCAAAATCACTGAGAAAAAAAGGAAGCCATTGATATTAGGTTAATTTTGATGCTATTTCAAAATTTAATAGCTCGAATATAATTTGCAAAATCTAAACTAACTATTTGAACGCAATTACTTTCTCAATTCGCAATCTAATTTATCGCCCAAATCCTCGCTCCACTCCAGTTTTAATTGCTAGACCAACTCTTCCATTTCTCGCTCACTAAGATCTACACTCTCTCTCACACTCCGCCATGAATTTCGTATTGTTCTTTTTAGCTCCCAAAAACCCTAAAAATGTTTTTGGGCACTAATCGATTGCCCTCTGTTTTCGTTCACATTTTGATTCTGATTATATAGAGGCAAAAGGTGACAAGTTTCATATTCACACTTAAAAAAATATGTGCGTAACTTTCATGACATGTATTGGTATTGTTTAATAAAATCTCAAACGGATAAAGTAATAAATTAAAAACTAATTTATAGAAATGGTCATGTATTCTGGTCATAATTTCAGGTTTAACTTTTAAAAAGTTAATATATTATATTTTTATGGTTTTCAAATCTTTCAATTTTGATTTCTAGTTCATATAAAATGAATTCTTTTCTTGTTTATATTTTGTTTTTTTTTTTTTTTTTTTTTTATATATATTCGTTTATAGCTTAATCTAATAAATGAATAATTTTTTCTATATCTCATACTCTTACTTAATTTGGCAAATGTTATTTTATAGTTATTTTTAATTAATTTTTTTCCACATTTATTTTATTAGTTTTTTTATTTTATTAAAATCTACATAATATTTTAATTTAATAATTACAATAATATAGTAATAAATAGATATCAATATTATTAATAAACTTACCTTTTAATCTCAAAATTTTCAAATTAAAACTTATTAGTTTATTTTGTTTATTTATTTAAATTATTTGTTTAAATTTAAAAGATAAAAACATTTAAATTATAATGATTCATTATATTTTGTAATTTCTTATAAATTCAAAGTTTTCAAATACTTTAACATTTGTATTTAACCTTTTTTTTTAAATAATCCATGTGATACATGTCTCACAACTAGTTTTTGAATAAATTCAAAAATAAAAAATAACATATCTCATCATTTCCCATAACCTCTCATCTTCCTCATTCCCGCTCCCATTTCATTTTTGACATCTCAAAATCGCCTTAATTTGCATCTCTCATTCATCATCGTCGTGTTACCAACCATCATCTCCTAAACTTATTTGAGAAGTAGTTGTCGAACACATGGAAAACAAAATACAACACACACACACACATGGTGATAGGGGAGTTACAATCTCATGCAAGCACATTCATGTTTAAACATTAAGAAACATTCATGAACCCCCAGTATTGTGTGCTTCCATTACACACATTAGTGTATTGTGTGCTTTTATTTCACACATTAGTGCACACATACTATGTTTTCATTCTATACACTCTGAGTATTCTCACAATACACATAATGTAACTTTATGCCATGTATTGTAACACCGTAAATTTTCAAAATAATTCTTCCTTTAAAACATATAATTCTCAATACATATTTCATAAAAACATCATTTATTTAAATCACAACACATAACTCAATGTTTAATTTAAATAGAAATCCAGGATCCTCAAAACATAATTCTTCTCTGGTGTGTACAATCAAGTTGGTATCGTCCCGCGATCCTGAGAAAAACCTGAAACACATAACACATAACACGATAAACACGAAACTTAGTGAGTTTCCCAAAATACCACATACAGCACATAAGCCATTCGAGGCTATAACTCGGTATGACCCTCCGGTCAATGTGTCTCAGCGGGACCCTCCAGCCCCGTAGCTCGTTGGACCCTCCGGTCTGGTCTATATCGTTGGACCCTCCGGCTCGGTCTGTATAACACATAGCATACATATAACACAATACACATAAATCTCAAACATACGCATACACATAAGACCTTCCGGTCTGCACATAGATACCACTCTAGGTAGTGTATAGTGAGAAGACTCGCCTGGCAAGCAGCAAGTAATTAACCTCGCTCACGAATCTCGAACTAGCCTCCACCTAACGCAAGAAATGAACATCTCTAATCAATACTCAAATTCTCAACTCCAAGTAAACCAGAGATTACTCTTTCTCTTTCTGTCTTTCCTCTAACTCTTGGATAAAAGACCATTTTACCCACCCATGATCTCCATTACTCATTTCTGACCAACCCTAAAGTCAACAGAAGTCAAACTCGAGTCAATAGTCCATGTTTGACCCGACTCGCCGAGTGCACCCTTGCGACTCGTCAAGTCCACTTATTTTCCTCAGAAATCTCGTGATAGTCCAGCTCAGCTCGTCGAGTTGACCCCCAACTCGTCGAGCTATCGCATGATTCAGTTCTTTGGGACAAACCCTAACCAACTCGTCGAGTCGACTCATCGACTTCGTTCATTCGGACGATTTCAATCAGATCTATCACTCCAAACACTAGATCTATCATCCCAAGGCTCAATAATCACGCAAAGCTTTGATCTTTACGTTCATACACGAGGTTATTGCTCCAAAATGCTAATATATGCCTTTCATGAAGGATTTAGCTCATCAACCCTCATTTGAACGACTAAAGCTAGGACACCTAGACTCGAAGGACCATAGGAGGTCCAGATTTGGGTTTCCAACCTCAAACCATGTCTCATTCAACTCATATATTCAAAAGGATGGAAGCAAAACCCTAAAACTCCCAATATGAGATCTAGTACAAGGAATGAGCAAGATGAGGACTTTATACCTTCTTTTAGCAGCTGAAACATTTAATACCACAAATCCACTGCCTTCCTTTGTTCCCCATCATGAAGATCTTCATCCTTCTTCATAGAAATGCACCAAGATTGCCCAAAATGATCACACACTCACTTTACCAAGGTTAGAATGGTTAAAAGGTTCCTCTCAGGATCTCAAGGGAAGGTGTGGCCATAAATGAAGGCCATAAGGGCCTTTAAATATGTCATAAACCCAGACAATTAGTGTTTCTCTGCCCAGTACTTACTCGACGAGTCCCTCCTCTAATTGTCGAGTCCACTCATTAAATCTACGCGATCAACTCGACTCGACTCAGCGAGTTGGTCCCTCAACTCGTCGAGTCCCTCCTTTAATATCAAGATTAACATACACAATAATGTCCCTGAAAATCCGGATGTTACATGTATTCTCACAATACATATTATGTGTTTTTTGAGCATCGAAGGGACCTAACATAGTGTAAATTGGTTTTTATTTAAATCAAAATAATTATCACTTGTTTTTGTTAATGATATTGATAGCGTGCCTCCTAGCCATGCCATAACAGTCGAAGTGACCGAGCACTCTCACTACTCGGCTATCCCACTATGGTTCCACCCTGTATTGGATTGGCCTCTCTATCCAATGCCCGACCTGGAACATACGCAGGAAAGTTGCTAGACAAAAAAGGGCACCTAACAAACTCTAGTGAATATGCACGCATCACTACAATGGATAAACCAATCCAGGCTTAAACATGGGATAAAAGTACAATCCACCAATCAGTGCCATTATCCCGATTCGGGTCTGACACTCATGTCTCCATGAAATGGGATATGTGCCAAGGCCTTTACTATAAAAGGTTACACGCCTCCAATGATAAAGCAGTTGAATCCTCATTCTTCAAACCATACACTTACCTACTTAGGAGACTGGCTTAACTGTCAGAGCGTTCTCTCAGGATCACCTTTCGAAGATTGGATGATGGTCATTTTCTCTTTTTGTGATACAGATCTTCATCAAGGTTCTAAACGGTCAGCGGTGAAGTAACTCTTGGAGGTCCAATATCACATTGTTGGCACCATCCGTTGTTGAGACAAACGATACAAAAAGCTCAATATATACCTTCCAATCATTGAAAACAATGGAGAAGGAAATCCCAAAGGCACAACTCGAAGTCCTTTGAGACCAATGCCATAACTCGAACCAATCACTATAGAAACAGCCCAAGCCATCACTCCGTCTGCCGCACATTTGCCAACATCGATCACACCGATAAACCAATTTTGGGTCCCGACCCTAACTCCAATGAGTGGACAACAGTCAACCTAGACAAATTTAACTCCCAACAAAGCTCACTTCCTTGGCAACTCATCGTCATTCACCCCCACGGATGAGAGAGCACTTCCACATGAGAAAGCCGCCCGTATTAAACTTTTAGTGGATCTTCTTAACTCCGATAACGCAGCCATCCTTAGAAACACCGATCAGTAGCACAGTCGGTGACTTCCCACTACAAGCATCATTTAACTTACCACTTCTATTCAGTACGTCCTCACCATACCCCAATATGCAGCTCTATAATGTTAATACCCAACCATTTCCAACATTAACTCCTCCCCTAACACAAACTCATCAAACAATATTTCCCATTTTAACAAGCCTTTTCCCCCACAATCACAAAAACACACATCTGGACCAACACTCATGACCATTCAAACTAGAATTACATGAATATGAAATGCCCACCACAATAAAACTCCCACACCTCAAATTATACAGTGACACAACTTGTCCAGACAGTCACATAGATGCCTACAAGTGGCACATGAATCCTTAAAACTAGACAAAAGGTTCTAGTATACACATTTCCTGACCATGTTGGACATGAATGTTAGAGCATGGTTCAAAA